TCTAACAATCTGGCTAAGCTGTTTCTTCATTATTTTAGGGGAACTGGGGTAGCCTAGTGGTTAAAGCGTTCGCTTGTCACGACTAAAACCCGGGTTTGATTTCCCACATGGGTACAATGTGCGAAACCCATTTCTGGTGTCCCCGTAAATTTTTTGGAATGTTACGAAAAGCGGCGTAAAAACATACTCACTCATCACCCACTACTTCTTTGTTGTACACCTGGATACAAATATTTTATTGGTGTCTTTCGCGTTTTCTTAACAGTTTCTGATACTGTTTTCTAAACAGCTACATAGTTCCTAGTTGTCTTGGCCATAAAACAAGGAAGATTAGTGACATGATCATCTATACCTATGCCGAGTTATTCAGTCCCGGTGAACAAACAAACAGATACGACACACTACGGCCAATGTAAAACCTTTAAACTCAGAAACGTGCAGCGAACTTGCACCTTCGGATACATTCTTTCTTCCAACTTCTTCTGTTTGTAAACAGGAATAACATGATCAGATCACAAAACCAGTGTAGTGAGCGTAAAAACGTACAGAAAACTATATTCAGTAATTATGGCAACGAGATTAGCTATGTGATTGTGATGTCATGCTAACCTATGAGGTCACAAATTAAAATCTGCCAAGCGTTGTGGTGCAAGTCAGTGTAGAAGGATCGCTTGACATTACCCATTGGAGGCCAGGTTTGGATGACAGTTAAGACTTTTAAGCAAGTTTAATGCAAAAAGGTCAATACTACCCATCAAAGTTTACACTCACTTAAAGGAATCACTATATGTTATTTATACTCAGCAGCAAAAGAACCCCCCAAAACAAACCGTCAGTACAAATTCAAAACAAGACAGGCACTGTAATCAAATCATTACAAAAATGGACATAATAAGCGGATCAAAACCATTTTTTGTGTACACTATCTTGACACATCAATGAATAACTCAGCACAATTTCAAGACATTACGTGAACGTTTGCAGTCCATTAAGACTCTTGACTTCAGTATCTAGTGTGACCACCACGAGCGGCAATAACTGCAGCACAGCGTCTATGCATGGAGTGCACCAATCGATTGCCGAAGCCCATTGGCACCTGGAACTACACTCTAAGAAAGGCCTGGCGCAATAAATCGGTTGTGTTCGGTCTTGGTATGACATTATTCAGTCTCCTCTGAATTTCAAAGATGTTCAATTGGATTTAAACCAAACTCAGGACTAAGGGCTGGCCACTGCATAATGTTGACACAGTTGTGCTGTAGGAAGTCCCGTGTAGCTCTGACAGTATGGGCCCGGGCGTTATCATGCTGGGAAATGTTGTTCCGGGAAATGTCGTATGACGTGCGGTCAGAGAGCTTGGTCGATGTAGCGCACCGCTGTGATGCCGCCCCCTCTCCTTGGACAAAGGTTCAGGAACACTACAGGACCCATTCTCTGGTTCAGACCTATTCCAACCCATACCATGATGCTTGCACCACCCCATGAGTCTCTTTCCATAACACATTGGTCTGAGTAACGCTGGCCACGTCATCGCCATATTCTTGTTCTGCCACTTGCAGTTGATACGCAGTACCGACTCTCATCTGTGAACAGAAAAGTTCTCTATTGCCTGTATCGCCAGTTTTGGTGTTGTAGGGCAAACTGTAGACGTTCACGCCGATGACGAGGGGTGAGGATAGGTCCACGGTAAGGTCTACGGCAATTGAGGTTCCCACTGTTAAGACGTCGGCGTACTGTATCAGAATTGATTGGTCTTCCGTGTGTTCCCACTGTCTGGCGTGCTGTTTCGGATGCCTGCATGAAAGGATTCTGTACATGCTGTCGCACAACGTGGCAGTCTTGTCGTCTTGTGGTCATCCTTGGTCTGCCAGTACGGGGGCGATCATTTGTGGTGTTGGTGACCGGGTAAAGTTGCTGCAGCCTGTAGATGGTCCAAACGTTGACCTGGAAGTGATTGGCAACGGCGTGTCCAGTGTGGCCAGCCTCAAGTCTTCCTAACGCCTGGTGCTTCTGAGCTGTCGTAGGTCGCGGCATCCTGCTGACGTTGTAATGTGAATGTTTCAACCGGGTTTGGGGGTGCATTTTATAGGGCTGGTCCTTGTGAACAGCACATGCAACTCCGAGCATGTGCAGTACCAACTCCGAGATCAGGTTGAGTTTTTGAGACCATTTCTGGGTTCCATTTTGAGTTTAGGAGGGAATGTTTTTACTCAGGTAAAGTTGGAGATGTTGTCAAAAATATACAATCAAAACAATAAATGAGTTTACAGTTACCCGTTTCTGCGACGGAAAATTCAAACTGACGTTTATTTTGCTGCTTAGTATATATATATATATATATATATATATATATATATATATATATATATATATATATACACTTCTCCACAAACTTTGGGGAACCAACTGTAAATTTTATGTAGATGAATTGCACGAGGGGCATGCATCAATTTGTGAATTGAAAATAGAGTGCTTAAATCAAATCCGGACTTTCCTGATAAGCTACAGTTTGGAGATAAGCATGGAGCCATAATGTCTGTGTTTACTCTCACGGAGAGTATACAATACTATAACCATAGAGATTCTCCTGTCTTTACAGCCTTTCGACAACGCAAAAGTGTTCGGCAGAATTTGGCACGATGGTTTATTCTATAAGCTTCATGAACTTGGTATTAGAGGTAATACTTGGAAACTGTTACATCACTATTATACCAATAGCCAATCATTTGTTGCCTACCATGGCGAGTGGTCAGACATGTACTTGGTCAAACAAGGTGTTGGACTAGGGAGAGTTATATCCTCTTGTTTTTTCCCTCATTACATCCTAATTACATCTTTAAGAGAAGCTGACTGTGGTAGCCGTGTCTTTGGTATGTACGTTCCAACTGTCTTGCCTGCTGACAATACTACACTCATAAGCACATCCCCTAATGGCCTACAGGTATCACTTGATCACTTGATATTGTTTCTTCATACGCTTCTAACATATAACCCATCAGAAAGTACCATCATCGTTTTAAGCAAGAGAAAAGGCTATGATGTTAACGTCCAATGTAGCATTGGCAACACCCCAATCCCCTTATCAGAATCTACCGTATATTGGGGTGTACTCTTTACAAGTAACCTCTCAACAAAAACTAGAAGTGAAAAGTATTGACAAAAAACAAGACAGAATGTAAACTCACTTAGATCTATTGGATTAGATGATTCTGGCCAACATCCAATCACTTGTGTTAACATATAGCTCAGAATGATTCTTAAAACTAATCTTTATGGCTGTTAAGTATTACCAAACATCACAGTCCACAAGGCTGACACCTTTTAACAAACACAAAGGTACTTTGCTCGTCTTGTGCAAGGTCTTGGTAAGGGGTCATCATCAATATCTACCATTGCAAATTTGGGATTATGGTTACTAATTGGGTTTATCGATATATGTTAACATTGTAACAACTTAGCAAAACATATCTTTTGTGCTGCTATTATAACTTCAGTAAAGCCTAACAACATCTGTGATGATCTGTTATCAATATCTAAAAAGTATAATCTAAATACATATGTTGACAACTTTATTGCTCAAGGCATATCTCCTCTAAAACGGGTATGGGGAAGAATTGTAAATCCTACTGAAGATAGTTATGAAGAACAATTATGGTGATAAAAAACTCTTTATCGTTCAAACGTCATTTTACGCAAGAACTCATACTACACTCTCGTATCATACTCTCTGGCAACTGGCATATAAACACCCTAATTATAAATCGTCCTTGCAATATTATCAAGATGTAAAATCTCAAAAGAGTGTGCACTTTGTGATAAACACACATTTGACAATGATTTCCATATGCTTCTCCACTGTGTAAACGTAATACAACAACGGATTCATTTCTTTGCATACTTAATTGGTAAACTTAATGTTGAAACTTACGTAATATTTGAAATGCAAGATGAACAAGATATGTTGTCATTTCTCTTTGAAGCAGAAAACGACTTTTATAGCTCTATAGATTCGACACTATGGGAAACCATTCTGTTATGCTTTTCTTTGCATGCATATGACCTGAAACCTCACCTAGTGAATTTGTTATACAGACTGATTCTCTTCATGTCATACATTTCTATACATATGTCCGTAAAAATCCAATTGTTAAGATTAATGTACATGTTGTAATAAAAGTTTCTGTTCGTAATCTTCGGCAACTACTGCAGGAAATAAAGAGACTCTCTCTCTCTCTCTCGCCCACCCTCTCTCTGCAAATATCGTGCATGTGAACAGCAGAATGTTGGTGTAAAAATTTGTTAATAGCTACATTCACACTAGTGAGTCTAAACCTTTGATGGGTAGTATATTACAACTTCTCAATTGTTTCCTTGACAGCCTTTCTTTTAATCTTTGCTCAATTGGTATTTAATCAGGGTCCCGATCCAGAAAGCGTTCGAAACACTACGACCTGTCGTTACTCTATAGTTTATCATAGGCTTACGGATGACTTAACACTACGAACACCCTGTGGATAGGGACCCAAGGTGACAAGATCCAAGACACGTGGGCCACATGTTAAACTTTGGTGCACAAATGACCAGCCTAACGTATAACATACGTTCCCGTGTTTTTTTCCCAGATGAACATGAGACTTGCCTTCACAGTGTTTTAGTCAATAAGTCGAATATTGCTCTAATACATGAAGCTGGCGTGTATTATTTGGATTAAAGCCTAAATGCGTTGTGGTAGTTATATATGCTTTGTATGTTGTTTAAGGCCGCACTCGGCTACATTTCAGCAAAATGGCGGCAAACTTATCGAGTCTCGATTAGACTGGATCAATCTAGTGATTGACATCATAAGCATACATCTACGCAATTGGGATACGATGGCATGCATCAATCAAGTCAGCCTCTTGTGTCAAGATTGGTTTTTGAAGACCAATTTGTACCGGGATCTTCACGGGTAGTTTAAAATAGGAATCCTAAACGGACATTACACTGCCCAAGTCACTTACCTGCTGGGCAGGTTGAACCGTAGGTTCCATCATTACCTCTTCAGCTGTAGCCATATCTGAAAAGTTATATGCAAAGCTTAAGCATGATGTCCCATGAGTTTGGAGTACACAGAATCAAAAACCCAACTCACTCACTCACTCAACAGCATCGAAATGTCGGTGAACCAGCATGTGACAAACAGTCACCACTGGATTTGTTTCCAAATGTCTGTGAGATGACCATTGTCACCTGTCGTACAAAACATACACCTGGATGAATATTGATGAGCAATAAGATCACCAATCACACCTAAACTACGGTAAAAAACATACACCTGGATGAATATTGATGAGCAATAAGATCACCAATCACACCTAAACTACGGTGGGACGTGGGGTAACCTAGTGGTTAAAGCGTTCGCTCTTCACGCCGAAGACGCGGGTTCGATTCCCCACATGGGTACAATGTGTGAAGCCCATTCCTGGTGTCCCCCTCCGTGATATTGCTGGAGTATTTATAAAAGCGGAGTAAAACTACTATCACTCACACTAAACTACGGTACCGCAGAGACGGTGGGACCTCTGCAATTCTCAAGACTAACCTCGTCTCCTACAGCCTACTCGACCATAGTAAGGTGTTACATTCATGCATTCAGTTCACTGAGGGAGCCGGAGCAAAATCAGATAATGAACTCCATCTTAGATGAACACAATAAATATTAATACTATCTTTCTTTATTCCAGTACTCAAAGGGCCTCAGGCCTATAGTACATTATATATACTAGGCACATAAAGAAACTGTGCATACAAAAATTTAAAAATCTAAATTTATCAAACCTGTGTAGACACATAAGGATTTAAACTCAGAGATGAGTGACATGTATCCAACATGCATGCACGTGCCACGTTCCGTGACGTCAGTGGGTTCGTCCTTGAGACGTGCAATACGTTGTTGCACGTGCATTCCGGGAAAGAGAAACAGAGCAAATGAATGCCACACAATACTGTCACTTTGGAAAGCTCAACCCCTGCCCTTGCGATCGTTCAAAAAATTAAACGGCTATTGAAACGCATAGCATGCCAAGGCTCACGTCTGCACAACGTCATGAGGCCATTGGGATGGTCCGTGGGGGAATGTCTCAACGACAAGTGGCTGCACTTTTCCACTGCCACCGGAACACCATTTCTGCACAGGTGTGACGCTACCAGAACACAAATGACGTCATCGATCGGCCACGTTCTGGACGTCCACGTGTAACAACGCCAAGACAGGACAGATGGATAAGGGTGACCTATCTTCGCCACAGGTTTCAGACTGCAGTGATGACTGCCCGAACCATCCCAGGACTTCGCCGTATCCACCCCAACACAGTTCGACAACATTTACGTCATCTCACAGGATCAGACCACGACGTCCCTCCCAGATTGTATCACCTATTTCAGCACGGCTCCCTTGGGGGCTGCATAAATCGCCTTACACGCGCATGCCGCGCGTCGTTGGATAGCTGTGTCCTGTGGCTACACGGAGAATGTTTCCGTTTGTTTTTACGCAACTTTATAGCCGAGCAATTAAGGTTTCTGTGATTTTAAGCTGTGCGTTTTTCTTCCACGTAGGCCCCGGTGGAAGAAATTTGTTCCACCCAGCCTCCTGTGGAAGTCGCCTGCGCCATGGCATTTTTCAAGCCTTTTACTTTGTCATATCTATGCATGCTATACGTTCTTGGAAACCTTGGGAAACGCTCTCTCCAAATATACAAACGTGAATATTGTGCTGCCCCTGGTAACCAGTCCAGATTGAAACTCCGACGTGATGTTTTGTGTAATTTTACTGAAGTTCAATTCTTCTGTGATATAGCAATTTTCGCCAACACACGCGCAGTCGTGATATAACGGCTACTATTCTTACAGATCACCTCAGAATATACATTTCTATAGCGCGTTTGAAAGCCTATTAAGGCGTGTTTTAGACAATGTATAATACGCACATGTTGCACATTCAGTGGTGGAGCTATATAAGTGTTAATGTGCGAACTGCAAAATATATGGGACGTGATATAGATTGGCGGAATTTAGATGAATCTGTACACCGGCTATACCGGCGGTGTTAATATTTACATATATAGTGCATTTGCAAGATTATTCATGGGGGATTCTGGGAATATGTAATATGTTGTTGTGCAACATTAGATAGTTGAGCAATACAGGAATGAACATGCTTGACAGAACTAAAAAGTACAAGCGTTTGGAATCTAACCATAACAGCAATACCTGTAGTGTTATTATTTATAATGTTAGTGTATCGGAAAGCCCTTGAAAATGCGGTTCTGCCAAGGTATAATGTGCATTCGAGTCACACCTGATAGTCGGGCTCTGCGCGCAGTTATATTTTGCTCATACCGGATCAAATCTATGATCTGGCGTGCATGCTCCGTCGGCCCGTCGGCGTTATGACAGCTATACTTTATCACAAAAGCCGCCTCTATTGTCACTTAATTAGCTTTATATCACATTCTATATATCACATCTACGTATCATCATTGTTTTATAACGTCTGTTTGACCTGTCCTCATGGATTCGTTGTATATACATGCACATCTCTAGCTTCCTGTAAATCTAATTATCACTTCATTAGCTGTATATCACTCTGCTGTATTTACTGTTTAGTCTGAGGCGTGGCAGGTAATTTCCGGAGATGTACCACTAATCAGCAAATTTAATTTCGTCACCGTGAAGATATCCTTCTTTTGATAAGCAGCTTTGTGATTTTATAATCTTGTCGCCCGACTGATTTCGGCCATGTGCATAGAATGCTTGGTTTTCATTGGGATGGGCAATTCACACCTTTTGGCGTGCCCTTGCCCCTCCAAATGGACGTCATGCATAGAATGGAGATGGGCAATTCACAATTTCCTCCTCTCCCTTAAAACATCCGACTTGGTCACATGACAGTGACCTTCATCTAAACCATTCCATTGGCTATCTGGCGGGGACGTGGTAATATAAGTGAATGCTCACAATATCATCATCACAGACCGAGTGTCTTAGTGGACGAATACCAGTCGGCGTTGACGATCCCTATTGGCAAGTGAACTTTACTTTTATTACCTTTTGCTTGTTTTAATAAGTCATCTACGCTGCTCAATATATCAAACTGATACATAGCATAAATAGGGTTCTTAAAATATCCAAGTACAAAACTGTGACATCAAGGCCCTTTTCTGTAGCTCCCAGAAACATAGTACAGTGAATCTTTTGCCAGTATGCCTTCCACAAATGTATCAGTGGTTTGTCAAAAGTGCAAAACATATTACAAAGGCGTTGCGCATTTAAAAAATGTTATCCTAACAGTTCTACTGCTGCTATAAACGCCATTCATGCCCAAAATCGCCGCCAAAGCGAGTCTTATACAGCTACTCAGCTTGTGTCCATGTCGGCTCTATTGGCATTTTGTGGCACATTCACAATAAACAAAACCAAATCCCTGAGTACATCAGGGTACTAAAACACTTTGGCCACACAATACAAGGGAGAGGACGCACCTGTGACCTCTCCTTCAAATAATAATCAATGCCGAGTACCAGTACTGGTTTAACTGGGTCGACCAGAAATGGTACTCGGTATAATTACCAACACAACTCAGTCAGGGCTAATCTAACTAACTCTGAAGCATATGATGAGGTTTCCTGAAAGTGAACCCACACTTTCAGGGTTTAAGCAATATTTAACCAATATTCTTAAAAAGCAGGGCGTAATGCTGGGGACACATGTCGCCGCGTTTCTAAGTTTTTCTATTTTATCCAAAACAGGTATTCCCAAATAGTAATATGGCTTGTATCAATTTTGATATATTTGAGCACGTAGATGAAATACATCATTTCAACATGGTATTTTCGCAAAACGGGGTTTCTGCAGGTGCCATTAAAAATTACATGGCAGCAGTCAAATCCTTTCTCACCTACTGTCAAACATATGTTAAAATGTCACCCAGGGTTTGCGATAATTTGCGTAGGTTTACAAGTGCTACAAATTGTTCATATACAGGTGTAAGTAAACAATATAAACGCGAGGAAGCCCATAAATCTGTTGCAGAATTCAGAGATGAAACCAGGCAACCGCCATCCATTTCCGTTGCTCAAAGGGATACACAGATCCTGCAACCAGACAGGAGGTGAGGGACATCCTGGATCGGGCCAAGGCAGATCGACAATCCGATGACGATCAGCGCCTGGTGATGCGGTACCTGTCCTGTGGGATAATTCAACTTGGTCATGCCCAAAGACCTTCGGTGGCATCCTGTATGAAGTTGGCTGACTTTGATAAGGCACGATCCGTTGGCGGCAGGTACCAAATTTCGTTCATGGACCACAAGACGTCCACGAGCTTCCTGGTCAGCATAACCTTGTGCAAAGAGGTACAACATGTTCAGGGATTACCGCCGGTATATACGTGGTGACATGCCTGAAGATGTCCAGCCGGAAAAGTCGCCTTTCTTCAGAAAGGTGGACAATGGTACCGAAGTGGGTAACATGTCCCTCGAGTTGGCCCGCTTCCAGGGCGAAAGAGGTTTCTTTAAACCCAACGAGGGAAATAAACGTAAGACATTTACAGCCACGGATGTTCGAAAAGCTTTGGAGACTGAAGTGGCAAGGCAGCATCCGATGATGATGCAAAACGTAAGATGGCCAGTGACTATCTTGCACATGGCCCAAAACAGTAGATAAATATTATGTGAAAAACACCCTTACAGGCTGCTAGTGAGTGTGCATTTGTAGCCGGTGTCATCAAACAAGCAGCTAGTGCATCAAACGACGGTGAGGAACCTGCCTCGGCGTCCATTCCAACAGCGCCCCAGCCCAAGCCCCCAAACCCCAAAGGTGGGGGAAAGGAAAAGGCAAAGAAGTAAAGGCAAAGGCAAACTCATCAAGCCCAAAAGGTAATAAATTAGGTGGATAGTGGAAGGTAGGGAAGGGAAAGGTAACAGAAACAGGGAAAGATGATCAAACCATAATCAACTATAGGCTAGAAGTAATAGGATATAACCTGTAATTCCATAACCTAATGTCAGTATTGACGCATTAG